CCCGGCCGCGCCCACCAAGCTGGCGCGCCTGGACCTGAGCGTCCCGCAGGAGACCACGGAGCGCGAGGTGGAGCGCGTCCTGGGGCTGCTGCAGGCCTGCTTCCGCAAGTGCCCCGGCGCGCCCGTGTCCTACTTCGAGTTCGTGGTGGACCCGCGCTCGTTCGCGCGCACCGTGGAGAACATGTTCCACGTGTCCTTCCTCATCAGGGACGGCTTCGCGCGGATGCGGCTGGACCAGGACGAGCTGCCCGTGCTGGAGCCCGTGGACGCGAGCCAGGCGGGCAACGCCGGCACCTACGGCCGGAAGCAGGGCGTGATAGCCTTGAGTTTGCAGGACTGGGAGGACATCGTGGCCACTTTCGAGATCTCCCAGGCCATGATCACAGGCTCGAGCTAAGGGTTTCCGTAATGCGGCAGTCTTTTTTTTTTTGAAGCACATACGCTATCTTTTGCAAAAAGTATTTTTGAGACCATTTGAAGTTGTTTCCTCTGAGTATATTTTTCTTGGTAACTTACAAGGTCGTGATCAGTTATTAAAAAACATCTGCCAGCCTGTTTATGGGAGATTTTTTGGATGCCTTATCATTAATAAAAATAAATTCTGCCCAGGTGTAGTGGCCCACGGACTGTAATCCCGCCAGCACTCAGGAGGGTGAGGCAGGAGGATCACTGTGGGTTTAAGGGCAGCCTGGGCTACATAGGGAGACCCTGTCTCAAAACAAAGTTCTGAATTTCATCAACTGAAAGATACTGGGTTAGGTACCATGGGTCACACCTGAGATCCCACCTATGTGGAAGGCTGCGGCAGGAGGAACCAAGGTCCAGGCCAGCCTGGGCAATTTAGGAAGACCCTGTGTCAAAAATGTCAGGGCTGGCGGGTATGGCTCAGTAGTAGGACCGGTCCTAGATTCCATCCCCAGTATCACTGCTCCCCCTCAAAGTGGGGTGATTCTGCATCGCTCCCTGGATTAAAGTGAACCAGAAGCTCGTAAAGATCTCCTAACTAGGTTGGGGGATCAGTGAGCGAAAAGTTAAGAAAAGCTTTGTAAGGCAGTTAATAGGCAACATGAAGACCAAAGAAACCACATGCTACACCTCACTGTAAAGAGTGGGTACTCAGCCGGGTGTGGTGGCGCATGCCTGTAATCCCGGCACTCAAGAGGCTGAGGCAGGAGGATTGTTGTGAGTTCGACACCACCCTGGGCTACAAAGTGAGCTCAAGGCCAGCCTGCAAAGTGACAACTGCAAAGCGAGACCCTGTCTCAAAAAGACAAAAACAAAAAAACAAAAAAAGAGTGGGTACTCATTCCAAACCATTTCTGTAAGTGGATTCCACAAAAGTTGTGTCTCCCTGTAGTGAAAGCACCAGAGGGCTGAGAGGTGAGGAATTGGAAGATGGGAGGAGCGCTGCAGGCAGGGAAGGAAGGAGGGCAGGTGTGTGGAGCTGTGAGAAGGCACAAGGGAGCCCACAGATTTATGAGAAAACTTGTGTTTGAAAGTTAAGCTGGGCAAGAACTGCATAACCTGGGCTACTAAAGTATACTTAGAGGTGGAAGAGTTTTGTCACACAGAAGCATGCAGCTGTGAGCTGCCTTGTTGGTTAATTTCTTCTCTGCTCCCTAGTTTCTCTAGTTTTTTTTTTTTTTTTTTTTTCTTTTTGAGACAGGGTCTTGCTATGCAGGTCAGGCTGGCCTTGAGCTCACTTTGTAGTCCAGGCTGGTCTCGAACTCGAAATGATCTTACTGCCTCAGCCTCCCGAGTGCTGGGATTACAGGCGTGTGCCACCACACCCGGCCTCCCTAGTTTCTCTTAAGAGGTTGTCTTTCAGAATCAGTAACACCATGTAACACTTTTTTTGTTTGTTTTTATTTTTTGTACCGGAAATTGAAATCAGGACGTTGCGCTGCCAGGCAGGTGCTTGTGCCACTGAGCTATATGCCCGGCTCACCTTTTTTGTTTTTGGCTTGGCAAAATGGCTTTATTAGAGAAAGCCAGGATTACATAGGATTTAAGAGTCGGCACTGGGGCCCTTCTTGCCAAAGGTGGGCGTGACGTTGGCTGAGTGCTGATTGTACTGCATCTGATGCTTAGCCTGGCCCCTCCCCGTCGCCGTGCCCTCTCCCCAGCTTGGCCACCTCGGGAGTTTGACCTCTGACTTTGCCAGCCTAGGCTGGGGAACAGTGGACTTTACCTTTACCTTCAGAAGGCAGTTAATAGGCAACATTGAGACCGAAAAAAACTACATGTTACACCTCACTGTAGAGTGGTTAGGTTAGTTACTCTAAACAGTTTTAGAATTTGGCCCGGGCTTCCACCCCACACTGGCCGAGGGTGGCCTCACCCTCCAGCGGCATGCCTGCCATGAGCACCCCTTGATCTTCCTGGACGATGCCGTCAGTGAGGCTACCTGAACCTTGACCCGGGGACTGTCTCCTGGCCGGTCACTTCGAGGGTGTGTAGGTCCCTGCGCCGACCAGGAGCTGACTGATGGTGGACCCAGCTGCCACCTCCACAAAGGTGCCGGCCATAAGGGGGTGAGGGTGTGCAGTCCTGCCTACTGCGCGCGGTGCCGCCACCACAGCTTGGCGTATTTGTCCCAGTTTCGCAGGCGTTGTCAGGCAGCGACGTGGAGGAGGACGGTCTAGTGGCCACAGGTGACGGAGGCCCACGGGTCGGCCATGTCACTTCCTGTAGTGCGCTCGGTGTGGTGGGGGGCTCCTCTGAGACCCCACTACCACGTGGCACATTTGGTATTGTTTTCATAGTAGAAAAATGCGGTTGCCTTGTTCTCTGCAAGTCAGCTGTGGAGTTGGCAGCAGGCTTGACGGGCAGCGTTACAGCGCATGAGTTGCATTTGTTGAGTCAGACATTAGAATCACACAGAAAACAGCACCTCTCACTGATTTAAAAAATTTTAACAAGGACATTTATGTTAACATAGTAGATATATTGCTATTTTAAAATGTATTGATATTTTAACTTTTTCTTAATCTTTACTTTTTAATGTAGTGAATATTAATACATAAAACACGTTAACAAAAGTGTTCCCTGTGAAAGGATCCCAAGACTGTAGGCTTGAGAGCTCCAGTAACAGCCACTCAGCCGCATTATTCCAGCAGTTGGAGGAGCCTGGGCTGTTTCCCTCTTCCTGTCCTTACCCTCCCTGTCTGTGTGTGCTGTCTTCTACCTTTACCTTCTTCATGTTTCAAGTGGGGTATCATTTAGCTGAATTGAAGCAGCAGCAATGTTGATTTTCAGTTAGGTTAAAGTTTAAAAACATAACGTTTGGTTCTGGGGTCACCTGAGTGTTGCCAGTGACTGTGTCTTAACGCATTAATATTACCCTTAGTTATTGCAGACTGATCCGGCTACAGTGTCCCAAACAGCGAAGGCTTTCATAAGAGTCAAGTGGTAGGATTTTAGGACTTCAGGATGATCAAAACTCTCTAGCAGAATTTGAGGTTCTCTGGGGGCCAAGACAAAGATCTTCTCTGGGTGGCCCTTATTTATTTAGTTATCAAACAAAGGAGGGGAGTACTGAAGAAAGGCAGGAATCTGGGCAGAACTGCTCAAGGATTTCTCCAAGTAATGCATTATGTTCATTTAGGAGAACTATGTTATCTCCAGGAAGGTCTCCACTGTGGAGTGAGATGCCGGCAGCTAGTGTTTATCTAGTTAATTGAGTTTGGGGCCAGCTGTCCTTCGCGGTGACCTTGTCTTGTCCTTTGAGGTGTCCTGGCTTCACCTGCCATTACAGGCCTCATCGGGAACCAGTGACTCAGAGAGCTTCACTTACTGTGAGTGCACTGCCCATCTCCAGACAAGGGCCTGGGCCTTGGACAGGCTCACAAGCAAACACGGAAAGCCAGTGGGTTAATGTTAAATCCTGCTTAGGGCCGCTTCACAGTGGTCTCCATCAGTGTCTTACCAGTTTTACTTTACAGGTTAGAATGTCCAGGAGCCCTCAGCTGTTCCTTTGTAAAACCTGTGTGCTGATTATTATAATTTCACTATATGAATGCCATCAGATGGGGAATTTCCCTAAGGAACGTAGAGTTCAACGTGAGGATGCATTCTCTGTAATTAGGTGTGTTGCAGGAGGGTAATTCCAAGGGTGTTTTTCATGTAGACACCTAATGATTGTGTTCCTTCACCATGTCTACCAAGTTTAGGAGAAAAAAATTCGGTTGAAATTTAAAAATGGCTCTTTTCCAAAAGCACAGAGTTGCACTTAACTGTTAACCTTTCAAGCCGGCGAGTCCTCCTTGCCGTGTGCCCCGTCCTCCGTGTGGCGCCCCCGACCTCTGATCTGAACCGCTCTTAGCACCAGCTCCTTCCCCCACAGAGGCCGGCACTGAAGGCAGGACCCTGGCCGTCATGCCCGCCGACGAGTACTGGCTGTGTTTTCCGGCTTCCCACCTCAGACTTTCCGTGCAGACGGTCAGGGTGCAGCCGTCTCCCCACTGTCACTGTCCCCACTGCTGCTGGCTTCCTGGGGTCCGTCCTCCCGCGCCTCCACCTCCACCTGCATGCGCACCTGGGCTGCCTGGGGACATCTGCAGGCCCGCACCTCCTCCTCCTCCCTGCACGGCACCCCCGTCCGCATCCCAGGCGCCCTGTTCTGCTGACCCCAAGGCCCGCCTTTCGCCCCCTACACCTGATTGTAGGCAGGAGAAAAATGTGCAGTCTGGGCCGGTAAGTTGGGGTTTTTTTATTTTTTAGGGTTAAAACTTGATTTTTAAAAGGCCATTTTAGTGTGCTTGTTAACTTTTTCAGTCATCTTTTGATTTTTTTATTTTAATAAAAGTAGCCTTAAGTGGACCACCCAGTGTTCCAAACCAGTATGAAGTATGGCAGAGATATATTTAAAAAACAAAACCAAGGGTATGGGGAGGAGAGAGGAAGGGAACAGAAGGATTCAAGGTGCACCGTGTACGCCGTATGTGTGTGCTAAATACACAGCAAGCGTGAGTGAACGCCAGCAAAAAAGTGATAGTAACAGTGAAGACGGGGAAGGAGATCTAGAGATGGAGGGAGGTGGGATAAAAGAATCAAGCTGTGTTTGTCCGTGCACCTCCTCCGAGAGGTGAGTGTACACTTTACTACGTAGTGCACACGTACGCTAACAAAAATTACAAAGCCTGTTTCTTACACGCATGGCAAGTGTGTGGAAATTGCATACATTACAGGCGCCGTGAAGCACGTGCGGATTAAAGGAATGAGCTTCATCGAGTCAGACTGGTTTGAAATTGTGCACAAGGGCAGGGTTGTAGCTCAGTGGCAGAGCACTTGGCCTGGTAGCCTCAAGGTCCTGTTTCGACCCCCAGCCCTGCAAAAAATAAAACTGTATGATGCCTTGCAAAAGCAGGATCTTTCACATTCAACGTTTTACGCAGGTCGGTGCTTCTTCTGAATCTAGGTTTTGGTGCCTCAGCTGACGAGAGTGCAGCGGTGTTGAGTATTTGGCTGGCTTTAGAACCGCTAGGGTGAGAGGGTGATGCCTGTGTCAGGCCCCTGCCTGGTTTAGTCATTCCACCGTGACTGGAGGGTAAAGACCGTGGCTCCATTAAGAATGTACTGTACACGTTTTTAAAACCCTAATTTAAAACTTGGCTTTAAAATTCTAGGGAAGGAAGGCTGATGATCAAACTCAGGTTGGGGCTAGGTTGGTTCTGCGCCGCTGGCATTTGGAGGCGCAGTGTGAGGGTGACGCGGTGAACAGCGGTGCACAAAGGCCGGGGGTGGGGGTGGGGCGGGGGACAGCCCTGAGAGGAAAGCAAGTACGAGCCCCGCTGCAGGGAGTTCTCATTTGTAGGCTGTAAGTCCAATAGCACTTTTTTTTTGTGGTACTGGGAATCAAACTCATGACTTCAGGCTTGCCAGTCAAACGCTTATGCCACTGAGCTATATCCCTGGCCCTTAGTAGCACTTTCTTTTGTGTGTATTTTTGAGACAGGGTCTCGCTCTGCAGTTCAGGCTAGTCTTGAGCTCACTTCGTAGCCCAGGCTGGTCTGAAACTCACAATGATCCTCCTGCCTCAGCCTCCTGAGTGCTGGGATTACACGCGTGCGCCACCACGCCCAACCTGCCACTTTTTTCTTTGAAAATTCATTTTGCTTTTTTTAAAGAAAGATTTTCTCCCCCCCGCCCCCTTTTTTGAGACAGGGTTTTGCTCTGCAGTTTAGATTGGCCTAGAGCTCACTTTGTAGCCCAGGCTGGTCTCAAACTCACAGTCCTCCTGCCTCAGCCTCCCGAGTGCTGGAATTATAGGTGGACACCATCATGTCCAGCCTTTTTTTTTTTCTTCCTAAGAAAGATTTTCTTTTAGAGCCTTTTGATATTGCTGCTTTTAAGCTGAATTATCTTCCTTTCCATTGTTTGTCTTTAGGTTTCTCAGGAGAGCAAGCTTCAACAGGCAGTGAAAATGAACAGCTCGGAGGACCTCCCCACGTCTTACGACTTCGACCTCATCATCATCGGTGGAGGCTCTGGCGGCCTAGCGGCTTCTAAGGCAAGGCCTTGGGTTGGGAGTCCGGGCCAGTCAGAGTCTTCATGTCCCTGGTAGTTCTCCAGGTTCCCTGAATGTGTTGGATCCATTCTTGTATTTTTCACATAAACTTAGACAAGACCTGCTAAAGTACTACTTCAGAATCATTTCTTTAGACTGAATTACAGGTTCTTCGTATACAAGGACAGGGCCCAGTGTTTTGGGACACATTTTCATCCGTTTTAATTTGGTTGATTTTTTTTTTTTTAAATAAGAAAGGTGTATGGAAATGGTTTGACATTACACAAATATATTTCTTCTTCATAAATACAGTACCAGACTTTGATTTTCATATCCACAGCCCCTTTTCTCCCTAATAGAAAGACGGAAGTTAGATTCTTAAACTTATTGAAGATGACCTGTGACTCCCCCATGGTCTGTGCAGGTGTGATTGCCAGCACAAAGCTCACTCCTCCAATGAGAGGAAAGATACTTTGCAGAACGAGCCTGGTGGTTGTCTTCCCCCTTCTAAGACAGATTTGGGAACCCCACAGGTTCAACTTTTTTCTTTCTTTCTTTTTTTTTTTTTTCTTGGTACCAGGAATCGAACTCAGGACCTTGTGCTTGCCAGGCAGGTGCTTATGCGTCTGAGCTATATCCCCGGCCCAACTTCAGGTTCAACTTTTTAATGGGCTCCTCACGTGAAAAGTTTAGGAAATCTAACAATTTCAGAAGAAAACTGCACTAATCTGCCTTAGAAACTGAATTGGGTAAAGCTCTGCAATACTTCTGAAGATATCTTGAAGGATACACATTGAGTCAAGGGTCTTAGGCTATCAGGAATTGTATCAGCTACTTCATTTTGCTTGGAAATGGTCACATGTGTTCCAGGTTATTATTTCATCTGTTACTTGAGTGGACTTACATAAGAGGATTCTAAGGTTTCTGGCTGATTCTAACAATTTTACAACTGAAATCTGCCTAATCTTTAAAGCTACCCACCTGTTTTGGGGGTCCCTGTGATTTTTGCACTGGAGCTGAATTGATCATGATATATAGAATTCCCGGGAGTTAGTAGTTGCTTATATCTTGGCATTACAGCTTAATAAAACAGCATGGATTTTAGCAGCTCATTTCCAGCATGTGGTGTTAACTTTTCCCACTCATTTTGGTAATATTTTTTTCCAGGAGGCAGCCAAATATGGTAAGAAGGTGATGGTCTTAGATTTTGTCACTCCAACTCCTCTTGGAACTAGATGGGGTAAGCTTCTAAAATATTTTAAAAGTGTTTTTGAAGAAGCAGGTTTTCCCCTGGGAATAATCTGTATGGTTTCTAAAATCCAAACTAATAAAGTAAGTAAAACTAAACCAGCCTGTGTATCTATAGCACTTGAGCTTAGTTAACAGGAGCTCAAGTTAAATACTGAAAGCTTAGGTTCCCTGCCAGTCAAGGTAGAAGAAACTTTATCCACAACCTATGACTTTAAGGTAAATGTTTGTGAAATCTATTCTACTTGGAGGCTTAGTAATCAGAAATTTCAACTTTGTAAGCTTGGTGTTTTAAATCCACCTCTTGCATTCAGCAAGAACTGAAATCAGATCCCTGACTGGTCAGCTCTTGCTGCTTGGGATGAGTTGTGTTTAGTATTTATGTCTTCCACAAATACTCCCATTTGATCACTTACAAACCGAGAGATACAGCAAAGAGCGACACACCGAGTCTTGTGTGTGGCTCAGACCCGCGCATGCCAACCGTGCTCAGCAAAGCGGCGCTTTTACCAGCTGTAGGCCTGCAGTCGATGGCAAATACAGGGTTAGCGCATGGGAGGGTTTCAGTTTCTGCCGTCATTAGCAACCGTCAGTCAATTTTGAATCTTTGAAGTATATGGAGATTGTGGAAATTTTTTTTTTCTTGGTACTACAGATTAAGCTACATTTCCTGCCCTTTTAAAATTGTGGAACAGGGTCTTGCAAAGTTGCCTAGGCAGGGCTTGACCTTGGGATCTCCTGCCTCAGCCTCCTAGAGTACTAGGATGACAGGCATGCACCACCATGCCTGTCTTTCTCTTCTGTTTTAGGACGCCATTACTTACTCTGTAGATAAAACACTCTAAACTTTAGAAACGTCATGAGACTTGGGGATAAAATAATAAAACAGTGTTGGCCACGTTAGGCTTATAAAATGTCTTCATTGCATCGTAATAATTGTTGACTTTCTCCTTGGAGGCTTGAGAGACAGGCTGTAGACTGATTTCCCAATGCCGTTGCAGGTCTTGGAGGAACGTGTGTGAACGTGGGCTGCATACCTAAAAAACTGATGCACCAGGCGGCTCTGTTAGGACAAGCCCTGCAGGACTCTCGCAACTACGGGTGGAAGGTCGAGGACGCAGGTATGGGGGTGGAGGCCGCCCTTCCGCTGGTGCTGGTGGGGGTCGGAGCTGGGATCTTGTAGGGCATCATTTATTTTTACAAGGTTGACACATACCCAGGAGGTTATTTCCATTGGTAGAATTTTTTATGGGTAAAGTCACTGTGGTTAGCCTTTGTCGGGTATCATCCACATGGTTATGGTAAGAACGCTGCACTTGGAATCTGGTGTCTCTAAGGGGACCAGAAGTCTCTCAGTGCTTTCTCAGATGGCGTGTGTAAGAAGTCCTGCAGTATTTGTGGTGGGAAGAAAGAACAAATTTCATTTGCTTCCTTTGGAAGTTGTTGCATTTTTCTCGCTAGAGAATTCTTTCACTAGCAGGTATCCTTTGTTGAGGAGGAGCAGGGACTGTTGGGGCCTTGTTGGTCTAAAATACTCAAGAGTTTGCTGGCCGTGGTGAGGCACGCCTACAATTCCAGCCTCCCAGTATCTTTATCTAAGCTTAGATAAGTTATTTATCGAACTGTTTCAATGGTTTTACTTCCTTTGTGTTTCTTTCCTCTTGCTAGATTTTAAGGTAGGCATACCTAATTGCTCATTTTGCGTTAACCCTTCCTGTGTCTCTCAGCAGCAGAGTCTGTCCAGGACTTGGATGAGAATGTTAGAAGGCTGTGCCCTGTTTTAAGTCCCCTTCCCAAGTGGGCAAGCACGTGTGTGCTGGGATCTTCGCTGAGGTCCTTTAGCCTCTGTTCTGAAGCAGGGTGTGCGTGCGTGAGTGTGTACGCACGTATGCAGTGCCTGCCAGGAGTAGTAACTTCCCCCTGTTTGTGAAGGGGGAGAGGAATATGGCGGATGTAGCTAGCTCATTGTTTTGTTTCATGGGGTCTTAGCACTGGAAAGAAGCTTGGAGTATTTTTCAGGTGAGGCCATGGAAACCCAGAGGGAGGCTGCGGATCCAGGCATCCCCGCAGGTGAAGCTCCACGTCTTCTCCACTGCCAGAGCAGCAGCACATCCCGTCTTCCTTGAGAGCAGCCCTCTTGCTTTCTAGTGGGACTTTTCTTCTCTGACACCGAGCAGCCCCAGGGTGCCGAGGGACCAAGGGGACCTGAGCAGAGCAGAACCTGAACCTGCTGAATGCCCCAGGAGGTGATAGGTGGTCCCACATCCCTCAGGTCCAGGGCTTGGCTTATGACCTGCCTTTCTCCCAAACTTCAAACTCAAAGTACGAGGCCAGGCGTGGTGGCACACGCCTGTAATCCCAGCACTCAGGAGGCTGAGGCAGGAGGATCCCTGTGAGTTCGAGGCCCGCCTGGGCTACAAAGTGAGTTCAAGGCCAGCCTGAGCTGCATAGTGAAACCCTGTCTCAAAAAGGCCAAAAAAACGAAAGAAAGAAAGAGAGAGAGAGAGAGAGAGAGACAGAGAGACAGAGAGAGAGAGAGAGACAGAGAGAGAGAGACAGAGAGAGAGAGAGAGAGAGAGACAGAGAGAGAGAGAGAGAGAGAGAGAGAAAGAGAGAAAGAGAGAAAGGAAAGAAAGGAAAGAAAGGAAAGAAAGAAAGGAAAGAAAGAAAGAAAGAAAGAAAGAAAGAAAGAAAGAAAGAAAGAAAGAAAGAAAGAAAACAAACTGAAAGTACCCAGAGAAGAGCTCAGGTCTTTAAAAAGAGTTACCTTGAGCTCACTTAAGTTGAACTGGTCCTTTCTGGAAGATTGATGGGCTTTATATTGCTCAGATTTATCTGTTTGAGTTCTCTTAGGCTCAAGAATTAGTCATGTCTTTAAAAGATTAAGTATTTGAGAAGATTTTGGATCACGTTGTCATTGCATAGAAAGCTAGGTCGTTAGCTCACAAGGGGGCCTGCAGAGTTTTAGGCTATGTTTGCCCATCACACCGCTGATCTGATGTTGCGCATACAGTGAAACATGCGCGTGTGCGTGCTGCCCATGTGCATACGGCCTCGGACAGGTCATCCAGCCCTTATTTTCCTGGCTAGCCAAGGTGCGGTCAAACTATATAGTGAATGTTTACTTTTTGTTTGTTTATTTGTTTGTTTTTGAGACAGAGTCTCACTGGGTAGTTCAGGCTGGCCTTGGACTCACTATGTAGCCCAGACTGAACTCAAACGCAAAGAGATCCTCCTGCCTCAGCCTCTTGAGTGCTGGGATTACAGGCGTGCACCTCCATACCCGGCTACATTTTTAAAATATTCATTAAAGGCACATTGCCATGAATCCCCTTCAAAATATTTCCTTTGGTTTAAACATTCTTATCCCATTGTTCTTGCCACTTTCTGCAGCAGCTCTGTAAGTCCTCTTTTATGACTGCCTTTATGAGATGTCATCAAAGTGTGCTGAATGCTTTTGCTGCCAAACAGAAAGGCAGGCTTGTAAAAAACATGATGTGTGCTGGGCACAGTGCTGCACACCTGCAATCCCAGCACTCAGGAGGCCGAGGCAGGAGGATTGCAATGAGTTTGAGGCCAGCCTGCGCTACATAGCAAGCCCCTGTCTCAAAAAGAAAAGACACGCGTCCTAACTCAACTTGTTCACCGGATCTGGCATTGGTTTCTGGCTCTTAATGACCATGAAAGGGGAATGTTTTGAATGAATTCAGGACATTGGAGTAGCCATGGCAGCACAACTGAAGATACAAAAGAGGGCTCCAGAGCTGCTGCAGAAAGTGGCGAGAGCGGTGGGTGGGAGGGGTGGGTGTGTTCGAAAGGAGGGAGGGGGTGTGTCTGAAGTAGACAGTCACTGTATTTGTCGATCACACTGGGTGGAATTGGACTAATTCCTGCCTCTGTAGTGCTTCGGCGTTTAAATGTCTCCAAACATGTTAAAAACTGCAGTCCTTGTGTTAGTTCAGTTTCCACCGTTGTACCTGGGCATGTGGCCTGGCTCTCCGTGCTGCACAGGCCCATCCGGAGAGTCGACTGCAGCCCAGCTGCTGTGAGGGCACAAGGGCACCCGGAGGTGTGAGCCAGTCCTGCCTGGCCGGCTCGGAGGCCTCACCGGCCATGCTGGGTATCCTGGCAGCCAGGAGCAGAGAGAGAAGGGCGGGTCCGGGGAGGGAGAGACGCGTGTGGGGGTCTGTCTTGGTTTCTTTTCTCTTGTTGCTGAGACAAAATGCCTGACGCCCAAAATTAGGGAAGGAAAGGTTTATTTAGCTCACAGTTTGGAGGTTTCAGTCCCTACTTGGCTGGCTCAAAGGCAGGGTGGCACATGGCAGAGGGCTACAGTTCGTGGTGGAGGAACACAGCAAAAGCAGCAAGAGCGAAAGGGAGGAGCGGCAGAGAGCACGCCTCTTTCCCTCCCTTATATTGTATACAGGCGACCCGCCCAGGGTGGGTGGCACTCACACCCATCATCCCAGCACTGGACCTTGGACCGGTCATCAACCCTAGCCGCCCTCCATGACTGCCTGGGGCTTTGGAGGGGCGTCCAGGCACAGACCGTGGCCAGGCCCGTGACCAGCCTCTGCCAGCCAGGCCTGGCTCCTGGCGTCATGTTTCACTGTGCTCTGATTTCCTTCCAGAAGCCCAGCCCCTGGACTCAGGAGGTTTTGGGAGAGCATTCTAGATCTCAGCCTTGACAGGCCTTGTCAGAAGGCAGCACAGGGGCTGAGGATATAGCCCAGTGGTGTAAGCGCCTGCCTGGCAAGCGCGAGGTTGTGAGTTCGATCCCGGGTACCGCAAAAAAAAAAAAGGCGGCGGCACAGCCCTAGCCAGAGAGCTGGAGTGCAGTCACCCCCGGCTGCGTGTGCGGCGGGAACTGAGGGTGGCAGCATGGTCATGTCGCAGCGGCTCGAGCGCTTTGCCGCTGTCGGCCGCCATTTAGGTTCCTTCTGCCTGAGCAGTCTCACTAGATGTGGGGGCACAAGGGGGGCCATCCACTGCGCCAAGGGGGCAGGCGCTCCAGTGGGGAAGGGAGATTGAGGAATTGGGTAATCAGCTGGTTATTAAGTGGCAGCGAAGTCACAGTAACCATCAGTGCAGTGTGTCTGGGATTTCCGTACAACACAGTACTCTGGTTAACGGGGGAGGATCTGGGAAGCCACTGGTAATGTCCAGGTAACCACTGCAGGTAGATGACTGGACAGAGAAGTAAGGGGAGTACTGTGCCCTTCTGCTCCCGGTGAGCAAATAGCACGTCTGCCTGTGCACTGAGCTACATCCTCACCCCTTCGTAGTTTAAATTTTGTGGGCGGCCAGATCACAGAAAGTCATTAAAGTGCCGAGAGCTGGGCTCAGAGTTGCAGTCCTCCTGCCTCAGCCCCCCACAGCCCCGGAATCAAAATCCTCAGGCAGAAGTGTAGTCCAGGGTCTCTTCGGCACCCCGGGCCCCCGAGCACCTGGTCCTCCGGACACCACAGCCTCTGTAGCCCCCGCGCTGAGCGATCTCTTCAGGTCTGCCTCGGTTCTAACATCGTACATTTTATGATCGCACGGACTGAGTACCCACGGTCAACCTCGTGTTTGCGCTGACTGTGCTTGTGGAGCACGGCTGTTGGGTCTCGTAGGCCCGGTCTCACCATGTCCTGTGTGGCGGGCTGCTTGACACCGAGCCTGTGCCTTCCGGTCCTCATTCCCATGAGAGGAATTTGAATTTGTGGCGTATTTTTTTGCTTCCAAACTACAGATTCCCCAGGGCCTCCCTGGTGCGCGCCGCCGGAGTGTAGTTCATCTGTGTCCCGATCGTTTGCTCACCATTGGCAACACGTTAACCAATGAGTGACAAAAGGCTGATTCTTACCCATTAAGATTTTGAAGTTCAGTATTTTAGGGACGCAGAGGGCTTATTTACTTGGGATAATATAAAACTTTCTGGAGAGGCGAGGGGTCGGGCAGTAAGGCAGACGCTGAAGTTCTCCAGCCTCTTCCGCAGAGGGCAGATAGCGAACGTTCGAGGCTTCCGGGGCCACACGTGTCGCCTGACACAGCGCCCCTGCAGCGTGAGCCGACGAGGTGCTGCGCTGCATCTCAGGAAACCCTTGTTTACCAAGAAGCGGGCAGGCAGGGGGACCCTTGATGCCGCGGCACGCCAGTTGCTGCACGGACACCGTTGCTGGCTCGCTAACTCTGTCCCTGGCTGTGTGAGGTCTCTGAGGAGTTTGTTACAGGTACAGCCCAGGTAAATTCCACTCCATTTCTACACAGGGAAAAACGTTGGTGCCATGGCTGTTTCCACCCTGAGAACTTCCAGGAAAGCTTGTGTCACTTAGTCGTACAGATGTCTTACAAAACCAGAGAGGAGTGAAGAGGAGAGCGAACGTGGCTTGTTTCTCAGCGTGGAGGACTTGCTCCTTTAGATTAAGAAGCTCTGCTCTTGGCATTCGGATGAGGTGTTGCCGAGAAACTTGGGTTTGCTGGGCGGTTGAATTGCTAAATGTTCTGTGCTGTTTTCTCACGCAGTTAAACATGACTGGGAGAAGATGACGGAAGCCGTGCAGAACCACATCAGCTCCCTGAACTGGGGCTACCGAGTAGCTCTTCGGGAGAAGAAGGTCGTCTACGAGAACGCTTATGGCCAGTTCATTGGTCCTCACAGGATTAAGGTCAGCCTCACATCTTGTGCAGTTTTGTTTTTTTTTTCTTCCTTTTTTGAGCTTTGGTTCCTGCTAGGGGAGAAGAAATACTTGGAAGTGTTGTAATTAAGATCATTTGCCGCTGCAACCCAGACACGGGTCTGGAGGCTTGGCTGTGACACCCTCTCGTGTGGCCTCCTGTGGGGTGTGGTGGACGCAGGGCCCTGGGCCAGGCCAGCTGGATTTGAGCACGTCCAGTCACTGCCCAGCCCTCCCCCCGCCTCGTATTAGCACCTTTTACAAGCGTCAGAAGAGACACTGTGTGGAAAAGCCTTTGTTAACTCTAAAGCTCGCAGTTCTAAGGAATTCTTCCTCACCTGAAGTTGGCGCATTGGTTTCTCCGTAGGCAACAAATATTAAGGGCAAAGAAAAGATTTATTCAGCAGAGCGATTCCTTATTGCTACTGGTGAAAGACCGCGCTACTTGGGCATCCCCGGTGACAAAGAGTATTGCATTAGCAGGTAAGGGGAAAACGGAGGGAGAAAAGCCCACTGTGGATTTTGCTTTTTCCTCAAGCCCACTTAGTCTGATTCTTAAAGAGAAAATATCTTAAGCAAGAGAACATTTGAAAAATTCCAAACTGCAAATTCTGGCTAGTCTACATAGTTAATGTTACTGCGTGGCCAGCCCACTTGTGTACGGATATGTGTGTGTATTGGAGGCGTGCTTGTGTGACTGCAGTGACCCAGTGCCCACGTACAGATGGGCACCCACAGGCGTGGTGTATAGCAAGTATGGTGCGGGTGCATGTGCCTTTAGTTTTGCAAAACTGGGATCATGGTTCTTTTTCATACTTGCAAAGTGGGCACTGAGGGAATTGGAGAAAGGCATTTCATTTAAGTTCATCGATCCTGGTCCCTAGTCACTGCTGTCCTGTAGAGGGACCTTTTGCACGTCAGGCAGAGGGCTGTGCCATGTGATGGATTTCCTTTTGCCAGCTGGGTGATCACACAGCTGACACTTGTTCAGAGGTTTTAAATTGTGAAATCATGAAGACGGGTTGTGGGCAGACAGCCCTCTTCCATGCTTGTTGCTGGGGGGCCTCTGATTGTGTCACACGTTCGTCTCCTCCAGGCTCCCTCTGTGGTAAAATGATTTCATCCTTTGGACTCACCCGGGGCAGCTCCGACGGCAGCTGCTGTCACTTCTGTCCTGGGCTATGCGCTGCTGTAACAAAACACCCTAGACTGCCTAAGCTGGGCGGCTTCTGAAGCCTCAGATCCTTCCCCAGAGCCATCGAGTGGCAAGAAAGGGAAGAGAACATCTAAGGGTTTCTCAAGAATTCTTTATATTGTGTGTGTGTGCGTGTGCGCGTGCAGGCAGTGACGTTTGTGACACTAACAGTTTTTTGTTCTCAGGAAAGTGGAACTGTTTCCTCCTATCTACTCATTATTCACATGTGAACGTTTTACCCCTCTCCCCATTGATTTTCAGTGATGATCTTTTCTCCTTGCCTTACTGCCCGGGCAAGACCCTGGTGGTCGGAGCGTCCTACGTCGCTTTGGAATGTGCGGGATTCCTGGCCGGCATCGGTTTAGACGTCACCGTGATGGTCCGGTCCATTCTTCTCAGAGGATTTGACCAGGACATGGCCAACAAAATTGGTGAACACATGCAGGAGCATGGCATCAAGTTCATAAAACAGTTTGTACCAATTAAAGTAAGTGAGGCTGTCTGCGAATTTGTCAATTCTGTGTTCACGAGGAAGGCAAGAAGAGGAGCTGGGTTGGTGGTGGGAGCAGGCCGTGAGCCTATAAGTCATCAGGGACCCTGTGCTCCTTGCTGTTACGTGCCAGTACATGCTCTTGGCCCTGTCTGCTGCCTGAGGAGCGTCGCTCTTGGGTACAGTCCCTTCCTCTGTTCGTGTTCTCTTTGCTACTTTGCTGTCTAATATTTGCCTTAGACATTGGTTAGTACTGTCTTCGGTCTGTTGTCCAAGTCCCAGAGATTGGAAGAATTCAAGACTAGCCTGGGTGGTTTCTTCTCCGGAAGACATTTTCCTGGGTATATAGTGTAGCTGACGTATATGCTGCGTGTAATTCCAGCTTCCCCGGGAACAGTGATTTCATTCTATTAGTGGGCTGGCTTTTTGGCTCACTTTAATTGACCTAAACTTTCCCAAGTCGTATCTGAGATTTGTTAGCCTTACCACAAATGTTCTGAAACCTAAGAGTGACAGAGTAGGTTGCTTAGGGTACCTCTGCAGGACTAGCCAATTCCTTCAGTGCAAGGAGCGGTGAGACTGCCTTATCAAGGCATAGAAGTATTAGCTAAGTGTTTCTCCCTGTCTCAGTAAGTTAATATTTGCATGACCGTGACTTTCTTAATGTGGAGAGCAGAGTATAGTTTGGGAATCGGTCTGATCTGGGTTGAGGTGCCTTCTTGCTAGTTTTTTGCTGTGTGATCCAGGGAGAGTTATGTAACGTCTCTGAGCCTTGGTTACTTTGGCAAAGTAAGGAAGATGGGAACATCTGCTTGAGAGTTGCTGTGAGGAATGTGCTGTACTGATAGAAAACTAACATCTTGCCATGTAAATACGAGCTAGAGCACGAGGGGGCTGGGAACCCTTCTGGCAACCTGGTGGCAGTGCCCGGTAACCCCGGTCACTGGGTGTCTGAGTCCCCTCGTGGGCCTTGAACTCTCGCTGTGGTGGAGGTGACCGAGTGGAGGACGGTCTGTGGAGGGGCAGGGTGCGCTTTGCTGAAGAACATGGTGTGCGTGCTCGGAGCTCTGTGGGGAGGAAGCTGCCCCCAGAGAGAAGGGAGAGGACGAAGCCCTTCTCTACCACTCTGGGTTTGTTTCGTTGTTTGTCTTTGTGAGACAGGGTCTCTCTCTGCAGTTCAGGCTGGCCTTGAGCTCACTTTGTAGCCCAGGCTGGTCTCGGACTCGCAACGATCCTCCTGTCTCAGCCTCCCAGTGCTGGGATTACAGTCGTGTTCCTTGCCATGCTGAATCAGATCTGAGCTTCAGGCCATTTCAACTCCTCTCTAAAGAGTAAAATGTTTGAACTTCAACAGGAAAGACTTGCAGCACATTGAAGAGGCCCACTGTGTAAAACAGAAAGGGAATTCGGGAAGATGTTCACTTTTTTTCACTCTTTATTGATACCAAAAATAAAATGACTCTTGACAGTGTGACCAGACCAGGGCAGTTCTATTTAAAGGTAGAGTTAAAATCACAGGCCGTTTTACTGATCTCCCAGGAAATAGTTTACAGAAGTGCGTGATATGCCTGTTAGTCAGAGACAAAGGGTAGCTGCAGACCGTTGAATGCATCGCCCGTGTGCGGTTGTGGCCGTGTCCGTGTGCCCGGCTGTGTTCGGGGCATGTTCGTCTCCTGTGCTTCGCGGGCCTGGGCTTATGGGGAATACACGTTTCCTTACCCAGTTGGCTTCGGGACTTGAGCTGCTGTTTAAATCAGTTTCGGCTTTTCTCAGCATCTTCGTTGTCACTGAACGCTAGCAGCGCGCGTGTAGACAGAAGGGACTCTGATTTTGGGCAGCAGTGGCTGTGTGTGGTTAATGGTTCTGGTTCGATGGTTCGATTTTAGGGATTTTGGTGTATCTTCTCTGTCCTTCTACTTTTCTCTCTGGGTTCCACTGTTTAAGAGCCATGTGATAAAAGGCCTTCTAACAAATAACAGCGGTGAGAAGAAATAAGGTACCGAAGAATCACTTAGCATCCTAATCACGTGAAGGGGCGGGAGGGAGGGACATAAAAGACTTTTCAAGCCACATTTTATGTTCAGCTTGGGTTAGAGAGATGCAAGAGCTACAGTTATCCTCCTTGATAATATCTTTGTTTCAGAGCAAAACTTTATCTCTTTCACAGATTGAACAAATTAAAGCAGGGACCCCAGGCCAGCTGAAGGTGACAGCACAGTCCACGCACAGCAAGGAGATCATCGAAGGAGAGTACAACACGGTAAGGAGCGGGCTAGGAGGTGAAGACGTGCCCGTGGGCGTCGGTCCCGGGCTTGGAACGACTGCTGTTTGTGAAACGTACAGGTGCGGTGCCTGTTCTAGGACGATCTGTTTGGGAACAAGGATGGCTGCAGATTTTCTGTACTGTGACTTAAAACATTTGTCAGTTGGCTAGAAAGAGCACCAGAAGGTTTGAATGGGCTGCAGCTCGTCTATCCCCCATCTCTTGTTCACTGCCCGGCTCAGCGCCTAGAGAATGACTTGATTCCACTTGGGCTGTGCGGTCCTTGTCTCCGAACCGGGCTGCGTTTATTACGGCATTAACTCCCTGTGTCAGTGAGGCGTAGAAAAGGGTTTCGGCTGTGTCATGTTCGAAGGATTTTTAAAAAATACGGTTAAAGGCTTCGATTTGTTTTACATTATTTTCTAAATGAAATATTTACATCCAGGTCTAGGAAATTAAATTAGATTAGCTTAGTGATGAGAAAACTGTGATTAAATGACTCCTGTGAGGACTTTTGTTACATTAATATTTTGTATCTTAATTTCCCAGGTGTTGCTGGCAATAGGAAGAGATGCTTGTACGAAAAACATTGGCTTAGAAACCGTGGGGGTGAAGATCAATGAAAAGTAAGAAAAAACTCCTGTGTCACGTTGAGTACTGCTTCACTTACTTGCAGCACCGATCCGTGGAGTTTCAGGCTTTAATTCTTGCCGCGGGTGGAGGTGCCCCTCACATTCACATTTCGTCTTGGGTTAGTTTTGTTCTTACAGTTGAGAGTTCTCGCTCTTATTTATTTTTCCCTCTGTAGTAGGAATTAAACCCTGGGCCTCACTTTTAACCATATATTGTAAGATTCCTTGCGGTTTTCTCATTTCTTGATTTTCCAAATAATGGCCAGAATGATCAGTAAGCGGCTCGGTGCCTCTGTGCCTTTCGGCCTTGTTCTCAGCTCCAGTCCGTGTGGGGCTTCCTTGGACGGAGGATTTAGATCTACTTAGTTCATAACGGTACTTGGTGGTTTTTAACTGAACGCGTTTGCAGGACTGGAAAAATTCCTGTCACAGATGAGGAGCAGACCAACGTGCCTTACATCTACGCCATCGGCGACATCCTGGAGGGCAAGCTGGAGCTGACCCCCGTGGCCATCCAGGCGGGGAGGCTGCTGGCCCAGCGGCTGTACGGCGGCTCCACCGTGAAGGTGAGCGAGGTGCCGCCGCCCACCAAGGCACCTCTGTTTTTCGGCAGCGCTGGGATGGGCCTCAGGGCCTTGGCACTGAGCTGTTTCCACTCTGTTTTGTGTTTTGTATGTAGACAAGATCTCGCTGAATTGTCCAGGTTGGGCGTGAACTCTCAATCTTCCTGCCTCAGCCTCTGAGGGACTGGGCTTACAGATGTGTGCTACTAGGCCTGGCTTATTAAGATACCCTTTCAAATACTACTCTCAGTTCCCTATCTACAGGATTGCAGTTGGGAAATTTTCCAGGCCTTGAGTAATTTTGGTTGTGAAATCCTAGGTGTGCTTTATTAACTATCTTCCAAATAACACGTTGTTAAGACTGCTATCTATTTGTGACTTATTGTGAAAATTGTTACTTTTGAAGTCACACTAAGAATAAAAACAGCTTGCTCTTATAAGTTGTTGCATTTTTCTATCAATTTCATTATTACCATGATAAGTATAATTTTCTAAATCTTCTTTGGCACCTATGTAGGCTATGAAAGGGTTTGGAGATTAGGTAATGGTGTCGGTATGTTCAGGCCTTATTCCCCTGTCTTTTCTTTCAAAACAAAACAAAACAAAACAACCTTTTGTTCTTGGGTGTGGGAAATGCTGCATGCTAGTGCTAATGTAGTAAAGTGGCTTTTTCAAAGTCACTGTGGGAAACTGGAACTCTTAGTCATGTTGCACAGGACGAGATGGCAGAGGAGAGAGAGCTTAGCAGTGCCATTTCCTGTGACTGTCAGTCGTCACGGGTGCTTTCACTGGGCACAGTAATGAGCATGTCGCAGACTGTACTAGTGACATGTACTCTGACCTGGAGTTCTTCTGGGTTGTGACATAATAAATGTTTCTGTGGCTTTCACTGGCACTTTAATGGGTACGTGATAGTACACTGCGAGTCTCTTGTATTCTAGGACTACTTCCAATTACTGCCTTGTTAAAGCCGTTTCAGTACTGCTGGATTAAGTACTGCAGCAGTACTCAATGCCTGTGGCCTTCTCTGTGTATTAAATTACGTCTCACCTGTTGTTCTGATCATGATAACGTGATATGTAACTGTCGTAACATGGTGATCATAGACTTTTGAAAAGTAGAATTAGTGAGCCAAAGTCATAGGCTACTTTCATGGCTCTTAATATGTGTTATCCGATTGATGTTTCAAACAGTTCTATTACTTTCTATCACTAATTAATACCAGATTGTCAGTATCTTGTACCCTATATTGTTTTTTGCTGTTTTATTGGAGGAGAAAAAGTGGTCATTACTGGTGACCTCAGCTGGGAAGGGGAAAGAAAAGCCATGGGAATCTTCTTCATAGTCAGTCCTGCTGGACTTGAGACTGCTACCGAGACCTTCCGCATAAGTCGAGGGCTCCCGGCGCCATCGCTTAGTGCCCGAGCTTGGGCCTTCGTGCGCTTCTGCTTGAAAATTACTTGCTTTGCTCTCCCAGCTTCGGACCTTTTAAAGTTAAACCCTTTAGTTTTTGTAAGTTACAAGTTCGCCTGTCCTAATTGTTTTCCTCTGCTGTGAAACAGTGTGACTACGAGAATGTCCCAACCACGGTGTTCACGCCTTTGGAGTACGGTGCCTGTGGCCTTTCTGAGGAGAAAGCTGTGGAGAAATTCGGGGAAGACAACGTGGAGGCAAGTTCCCCCTTGTTTTCTCCTGTGGTACTGCTGTAGTTCTTCAAAATTCTGAAGCGATTTTAAGTATATAGAAATGTTGAAACACAGTGCGAAGAACTTCTCACAACTCAGGTTTATGTATTACACTTTACCTATTATTTTCTTTCTTTTTGTATTTCTTCTCTTTGGGTCTGTGTCTGTATTTATTTTCTTCTGAACCATGAGAGACGGAGAGGAAGGAACGCTCCTTTAGGCCCTGTGTCACCTCAGTGTGTGCGTAGTGTGAGCAGGGGCGTTTTCTCGTAGAACGCAGTACGGTGAGCATTTGCAGGAAACTTAGTACTGATACAGTAGTTTCATCTGATCTACCTTTCACTTTCCACATTTGTCACTTGACCCAGTAAAGAACTCCTTCTGCTTTTTAAAATCACATTTATTGGTTTCTTTTGATATTAAAACAGTATTGTTGAAATATGAAAAATATACCAGAAAATGAGAAGAAAACTAAAAATTAGCTGTTGTGCTACTGCTCTGATCATAAGTAATAAATAGTTTTGCTTCTAGCATTACTGTGTAATTTATACTGCTTTCACCGCTCCCCTCTTAGCTAATGTAGTCAAGGAAGGTGCAGAGGTTTTTATTCAAGCAACTGGTGCTGCCTTTAATTCCTTTGGGAGAAAAAAACTTCAACAACACCTTCTAAATACCCAGATTTGTGAATAAAAGTCTATTTTATGATACAAAAGCTTATTTTAAATATTTTATTCTTTTTCCTTTATTATATACCGCTATTTTAGCATATCATATTTTAGTCCAGGGCTGGGGATTTAGCTCAGCGGCAAAGCGCCTGCCTGGCAAGTGCAAGGTCATGAGTTCGGTTCCTGGTACTGGAGAAAAACCAAAAAAACAAAAAACAAAACATATTTTAGTCCACTAGGAGCACAGTGACTTTTTTAATTGTATACTTTCACTATAGAAAGTTTGAAGAATTAGGAAAATATCAAAAAGGAAATTTTAATATATGAAGAGTAATGTTTTTGCATGTTTCCTTTTAGGCTTTTTTTCTCAGTAATTTTCTAGGTTGAGTATGTTAGTCCAAAGTGCTTCAGACCAGAAATGTTTTGGGGTTCAGATTTTTCTTTTTTCTGATTTTTTTTTTTTTTTTTGTCTTTTTTTCTTTTTTCTGATTTTTTTTTTTTTTTTTTTTTTTTTCTT